GGGCATTTTTGTCTTTGTAAAGATCATTAGAATCTAATGAAGATTAAGGGGGTTGACTGTAGGGGTAATCCAACAGATTTCAACAGACCCGTATTTTCTTTCTTCTTCTTCTTCTCTTCTTCTTCTCTTCTTCTTCCTCTTCTCCTTCCTTCTCTTCCTGGTTCGGACTACTGTAGCAGCATTCGAAACAAGAAGCTTCACTTCATTGCGACTTTACTACTCAATCCTGCTACCCAAGTTCTTTTTTGAACTCTGACATTCCCAAAACCTGCTTTTCTTAATGATTTGTTTGATCCTTTGCTAAGGGCCATTGTTTGGTGCATGGGTGAAACCTTAGGCCTAGAGAAGCTACTTTGTGTAAAAAAATGCCAAAGGTTAGGTCCATGTCAGTTTGCCCCTCCCAAGACCCTTTGTAAGTACATGGGGTTAATCATTGCAGAACCTGCGATGGAGGTCAGTGCACGGAACATAGGTGTGATCGCTTGTCTGAGAACCAGAGTCACAAATCCACATCTCCCGAAACTCACAGCACAGAAATACCAAAATCTGCGATGTCGCTTACGATATCACAATTCCCTTTCCAGTGGTAACAATTAAGTGCATGCTTGCGAATGACATCATTGTGATGACAGTAATGAATTAAGAATGCCACATTGCAGGTGTCAAATCGTAGAAATCACAGTGCAGGTTCAGATTCACAATTGCGGCAGAGGCCCACTAAGGTGATGCCAAATAGGTTGTAGCATCGCAGCACTGCGATGCCGCCACACTCAAGTACTTAGGCGCTACCGTGAGAGGGATCATGCCATGTGACGATGGGTAAGCTTCTAGAAGGGGCCATAGCTATGAACGTGCCCACTGGACTCTGAGGAGCATGAATTCCCAATCTCAGGAGATTTGCACGGACACGTGGCAAGACACCGAATCACTTACTTGTTTGCTACCTAACAAATTTTAACCACCTTCCCATGGCGGGAAAGTTTCCTTTGTCTCCTTGTTTTCCTCTCAGACCCTAGCCTTTTGTCTATATAAGTAGGAGAGGCTCAAAGCCTTCCAGGAGGATGACCCTCTTGGAATCCCATGTAAGTCCCACCATTTTGCAACCCTAACCCTGGGATTTTCTGCAACCTTCTTCTCCCTATTCTTCTCTTTTCCACTGCTGTTCCCTCTGTACCTTCGGAGACTTGACCACTGTCGAATTGGAGTCCACAGGACCAACGCCCTAGATCGTAGGGACCAACATTGTGTAATAGCGCTTATTTCTGTGACCCTTTGCTTTTGTGTTCTCTATAAATGATGCTAAATTACTAGCTTGCAAAAACTGCTTGGTGCATGAATGGATTTTATAATAATGTTCTTAAATGTATTTTAGTTGCATTTTGTTTTCTATACTTTTTTTTTTTATATTTCGTGTTATGCGCCAGTACATTTTTCTACTTGTACACTTTTTCTGTATAGAGTTTGTTTTCTTTGTTTTTCTTTCCTTTCATGTAATATCTCTTCTGTGGTCACCAAGAATTGGATGATAAGGCTTCTTTTCGATATTACAGCTGCATATACCTCCGTTCTCATGTTGAGCCATTTGTGCATTATGCAGGAATCTTTTATTTATATATGAAAACTATAGAAAGGGCTCATATGCCAAATAAATTATGGGAGAGAGTTAAGTTGCCAAGAAACTATGAGAAGGCACTTGAAATCATTGACAAACATATGGTATTCCCCTTCACCTAAAACGTTGTCCCTTTGCTTTTCTTGCTTTGCCTTGCACTCGGTTTAAAATGCTTACCTTTTTACATTCATTTTGGATTTGACAGATGTATTGGCCTAAGTTCCTTGTACACAAAATAAAGCAACGACTCACTAAAATGACTCAAATGCGGATACGCATGAGGAAACTTGCACTAAAAACAAGGTATGCAGTTTGAAACTATCTTTAGCTTTTTATTTTTTTTATAGGAAACAGTAACTTTCATTAGATAAAACCATAAGAAACAACTGTCACCTTCCAAAGTAAAAGGTGACCCCTAAATAACAAAAATCTTACAACACTGCACAAAACAAAAACTCTCGATTCACCCCCTGTTTTGCTAGGTAGTCAGCTAAAGCATTTGCTGACCTCCTAGACCAATACACTTTTGCATCCAGCTCCCTTGTGAGGCTCAATAATTCCCTTGCCTGTTGTCTAAGGGACCACATTCCCAAACTGTTTGATTGCAGCCATCCTACTACTAATTTTGAATCCCCCTCCACTTCCAACTGTTGGAAACCCTATTGCTTGGCCCATCTGAGCCTCTAGAGGAGCGCCAAAACTTCAGCTCTAAGCGAGTCCCCCACACCTATTGGGCCAGAATACAGAGCTTGGATTTTTCCTTCCGCATCTCTAAACACACCCCCTATTCCAGAAGGTCCGGGGTTCCCAATAGAGCTGCCATCAAAGTTCAGTTTGACATGACACTGCAAAGGAGGGGACCAAACTTCTTGTATGGTAGGTGAAGTAGAAGATCTTGCTAAAATATTCCATCTTCTAATCAAATCATCTGTAGAGACATCCTTGAACAATTCAAGAGTTTTCAGCCAATGTACTGCCTTGATGGTGATCCCTTTAATAACTTCAGGAGCTGATTTTTCTTTCCCTTGGAAAATCCTATTGTTTCTCTCTTCCCATACTGCCCACAAGATAGTTGCCCTTGTTGTTCTCCACATCACCCTTCCTTTCTTCTTTGGTTGTCGGAAAAAGCTAGGGTCAAATAAATCCGCTACACTTGTGGGAGGATTCCACCTACAATCAAAGAGAGAGGAGAACCAATCCCAAATTAGAGCACTAAAAGGACAAGAAATTAATAGGTGATTCATCGTCTCACCATTCCTTAAACAAAGGCTACAGACATGAGGTGGCAAGCACCAATTTGGTCTCTTTCTTTGAAGCACTTCCAAGGTATTGATTTTTTGGAGAAACACTTCTCAACAAAAAGCCCTTACTTTTGGGGGGACACCAAAGCATTGAAAAACGAAGAACAAGAAAAACTACCTGTAGAAGTTTTTGCTCAAACTCTATTGTCTGGAGAGGAGTGGTCTAGAAAAACTGAACTCAGAAGAGAAAAAATATCAATTGTTGACTCCACTTTTGAGTCCCTCAAACCTCTCCTTAGTCCCAAATCCCAAGAATCCCCAGAAGTACGAAAAGAAGAGATAAATTGAGATTTTTTCAAAGAAAGGGAATAAAGGTTTGGGAATGTATCCTTAAGAGGAGATTCCCCAATCCACAAGTCCTTCCAAAAAAGAATTTTATTACCCACACAGGCATCATACCTGATGAAAGGATAGAAGAAAGGCAAGATACCAACAATATCTTTCCATGGGGAAAAACGCGAAGCCCTTGGATCGAATCCAGCATCGCATCCATTTGCTGCCATTCCATGAATACTTCTTATCACCTTATGCCATAGACTCTCTTGCTCCTTAGGAAACCTCCGTAACCATTGGCCTAACAAAGCTGCATTTCTTGTTCTAATATTTCCAATCCCTAAACCCCCTTAGTCATTCTTTCTAGACACCACTTCCCATTTTACCCTATGATCCTTTTTGGTATCTCCAGGCTCCCACAGAAAATCTCTCATTATTTTTTCAATTTGGTTTGCAATCTTAACAGGCAATTTGAAGGTAGACAAAAAGTACACTAGCAAATTTTCTAGTGTTGACTTTATTAGAGTGATTCTACCCCCCAAAGAAATGTAGTTTCTTTTCTAACCCGCTAGTCTTTTTGAGAATCTTTCCAAGACTGGGTACCAAAAGCTAACAGACCTCGGATTTCCTTCCAAAGGTAAGCCTAAATACTTAAGGGGCCATTCACTTACCTCACAACCTAGAGATCAAGCCAACAATGCCACCTGACCTTCTTGCCTATTAATTCCAACTACACAACTTTTATTCCAATTTACTCTCAAGTTGGAGACCTTTTCAAAATTCTCTACCAAGACCTTTAAATTTTCCAACTCCTCTGGATCTCCTTCACAAAAGAGGATCAAGTCATCAGCAAATTGAAGGTGGGTTACAACTATTTCCTCCCTCCCTACTCTCCACCCTTTAATCAATTTTCTAGCATCGGCTCTAGTAATCTGGACACTCAACTATCAGGGTGAAAAGGAAAGAGGGTCCCCTTGTCTTAATCCTCTCTTTGCCGGGAAGAAATCCTTGGCTACCCCATTTACTAGAATGGAATAGTGACATGAAGAGATACAACCCTTAACCCACATGCACTTCCTTTCTCCAAATCCTCTAATGCTCAATACTTCTAGTAAAAAGTCCCAGCCCACCAAATCATAGGCCTTCTCCAAATCCAGTTTGCAAATTAGACCCTTTTCTCCTTGTCTTTTTCAATAATCCACACATTCATTGGCAATAAGGATCTGATCAATAATTTGTCTTCCTGACACAAATGCCCCTTGGTTTGGAGAAATCAAAGAAGGTAGTACCTTTTTGATTCTTTCTGCCAAGACCTTTGATATTACCTTATACATACTCCCAATTAGGCTTATGGGCCTAAAATCCTTTGGGTGGTTTGCATTTATCTTTTAGGAATCAAAGCTATGAAAGTAGCATTGGAACCCGAATTTATCTTACCTCTGTCAAAGAATTCCAAGAAGACCTCCATTAAATCACCACCTATAATATCCCAACAATCTTGGTAAAAGGCCATCATGAAACCATCTGGGCCTGGGGCTTTAGATCTTTCCATTGAAAAAATAGCATCTCTTCTTGGACTTCAAAATTCTTTTCTAGTTGATCTATCAAAACTCTATTCCCAGGTAGCCAATCAAGGTCAGGGATTTCTTCTCTCTTTCTCTCTCTTCTTGGGTTGTCATAAATGGATTTGAAATGTTCCATAAAGGCTCTTGATATCTCTTCCTCATTTGTAATCACTTCCCCATTCCATTCCAGCCTCCCCACAAAATTCTTCCTCTTCCTTCCATTTGCTAAGGTGTGAAAAAATTTGGTATTCCCGTCTCCCTCCTTTAGCTGCTTACACCTAGGTTTTTGTCTCCAACTTATCTCCTCTTTCCTTGTGATTTCCTGCAATTCCTGTTTCAGCTTCCAACGCTCTTCCCTCTCTCCTACTGTCATTCTCCTCTCTGCCTCACCTCCATCAATTTCTTGAATCCTATTGCAATCCACTCTTCCAAATTCCTCCTTGTTCCAAGCTTTGGTTCTAGCTTTTAGGGCCTGCAGCTTTTTATAGAACTTGTACCCTTTCCATCTGAATTCCACTTGGTCTTCTTCCCACCACTATTGAACCTTTTTTATAAAATCAGGATGTAGCAACCACATGTTCTCAAACTGGAAGGGATATGGCCCCCCTCCTATGTTTTCTTGGGATAACCTAACTGGACAATGGTCTGAGGTAGGTCTAGGGAGACCCTCATTGCTAGTCCCCTCCAAACAGATTCAAATTCTGAAGAGAATAAGAATTTATCTAATTTACAACACCGGTTCTTCTTGGAAGTTGGACCAAGTGAAGTTTGCTTGCAACATAGGTAGCTCTCTCAATTCATTTGAGTCCACAAAAAGGTTGAACTTTCTCATGCTAGAGGTCAGCCTATGATTTGAATTGGTAGTTTCATTTAGGAATCTTATGACATTAAAATCACCCCCTAGACCCCTTATGGCTGCAAGCTCATCCCAAAAATCATCTCTCTCCCTATACGAGTTAGGTCCATAGACATTGGTTAAGGCCCACTCAAAACCATCCTCTTTTCTTCTCAACTTGATTGTTAATGTAAAATTGCCAATTAGTTCTTCAGTACACTCCATTTCTTCATTCTTCAATATTGTGATGATGCCTCCTGATGCTCCCCATGATTGTGTAAACGCCCAACTTAACCCTCTAGCTGACCAAACACTCCTCACCCTTCTTCTGTCCAACTCTGTTAGTTTTGACTCTTGAATTAAGAAAATGGTCGGTTTCTCTTTCCTAAGGACTTCCCTAATTACACTTCTTTTTCTTGAGCTCCCCAAACCCCTCACATTCCAACTAATTATCTTCATGGAAAACATTAAGTAAAAAGCCCACACAGCTCAGCTTAAATTTAACCCTGCTTTCTCTCCTTCCTTCCTGTACCTCCTCTTTCATAATCCACACCACACCTAAGTCTTTCGACTTCACTCATCTTTTTTCTTCTTGTTTTAGAATTCTCTCCCTCCTCCTTGTTTAAAGCTTTTAACTGAGTTACTTCTTGTCCTTTTTTCTTATTCTTGCTAAGTTTTTTATTTGCCTTTTTAGTTCCAGCACCACTCTTATTAATCTCCCTCTCCTTTTCCTTAGAAGTAGTCCCAATCAGTTCAGTCCCCTCTTCTGATCCCAACCTGGAGTGAATTTCCACCTCTATCAACTGCTTGAAAAGGATCACTATTAATTCCCAAATTCTCTCCCCTTCCTCCTTAGACCCTTCTACATCCTCACCAACCCCTATCTCCTCTGTTAATCCCACCGAGTCACTAGGAATGGCAGCTGTTGGGCAGGACTTGGAGACACCTGTAGGCTGAACAGGCAAGACAACCGGAGAGAGATAGGATTAGTTGAAACACAAAAAGGAACTAAAGAGGATTGGCACAGCATACCGGGCTTCAAAGGGTCTGCACTAATCTCCACAGAAGACTGGACTAAAGGGCTTTTAAGTCGGGGGTTCTCCTCCAAACCAACCTTTGAAGGGCAAGCCGGGGATGGGAATAATCCTGTAGCTTTGCTTGCTGAATGCTGAGAAGAAGGAGGCACTCTACTAACAACTTGGCTATGTCTCTGGACAGGGATAGGAACTGCTCCATCTTTGACCGAGGTATTATCCTCGCCCAGGTGAGGAACTACTGCACCGTATCTGAGTTCCCAAAAGAAGTCCAGAGGGTGCTGGTGAAGAAGGT